ATACTACATCTCAGAGGTAGCTATTGTACTTTATACTACATCTCAGAAGTAGTTATTGTACTTTATACTACATCTCAGAGGTAGTTATTGTACTTTATACTACATCTCAGAGGTAGCTATTGTACTTTATACTACAAGCACCACAAAGTAGTACTTAAATACAGTATTTGAGTAAATGTACTTCGTTACTCATCAGATGATTTGTTTCTGTTTCCCTCAGAAATGACGTCACCATCAGATCTGGAGCAGCTGGCAGAGATCGGTGAGTTTAAATACACTTAAATATTATTAGATATTATTTAACCAGTATAAATGCTGTTTATATATTAAAAAACACATTTTTATGTCCAAGCGAGAAGTTAAAAACAATTAAAACTAAAACAGACAAACCGAGACACTCGTCACACTACAGAAGAATAAACACATTATACATTTAACAAGTTTAATATTTCACTTTATATTTAACAACAACCCTTCTTTATGTTGTTGATTGCTTCATTTCTACGTTACTTAAGGTTTTATGAGATAAAAACAAACTTCAGTCAGTTATTGTTAATGTTTGTATCTTCAGTTATTGAGCTTCTGTTTCATACACTCAGTGATTCTCTGTATGACATCACACTCTCAGCCTCTGATGTCGTGTTAAACAACAGTAAAAAGCTTCAACGTTGAGCTGAATCGACACCTTTCTCAAACAAACATCACATTATTAATGTAGCATTAGGTTTAGCTAGCTGTTAGCTTTGAATGTTTAAATGCAGTTTCTCTTTTTAAAATAGTAACTTTCTCACTTTGTTGTTTTGTCTCAGAGAAGAGAAGCTGCATGTGGTTCAGTTGTATATTGTTGTTTATTCAGAACAGAGTAGATGTTGTACTTCAGAGACATTCTGTCTCTTCCTGCTCTCTGATGTAACCTGAGTCGGATCATTTCCTCTGTTATCAGTGTGTTTATCAAGCACTTCCTCTGGTCTGTACTTCAGGAGCAGATCAGGACTCACTAGAGCGTGGTCGGTGTGGTGGAGCAGGATCTTGTGATTTAGCTGCTGTGTGTAGTGGAGACTGGGGTTTCCTGTGTATACGCCATGTATTTAGGGGTTTCCCACGGGATTGTGGGTAAACCTCAGACCCTTTTAAGGTGGATTTATTCCCTCTTAACTGTGACAGAGCTTCAGAAGGACGAAGAGGAGGATGATGATGATGATGTCACAGACGGTCCGTCGGTTCCTCCAATCAGCAGATCCGGTGCTGATTCTTCTCACCCGTATTATGACGTAGCTCGACACGGAATCATCCAGGTCTCAGGTCAGTTTGAAACATTTAGACATGACTACCTGCTCAGGTACTCTGTTCACTTCCTATTTCCTCTCCAGGTGACGACAGGTACGGCAGGAAGTTGATCATCTTCAGCAGCTGCTGTTTGCCTCCATCTCACCAGCTGAACCACCGCCGCCTGCTGGAGTGAGTCCAGACAGACACACACCCGTAGACAGACACACACCCGTAGACTGAAACACACCCGTAGACAGACACACACCCGTAGACAGACACACACCCGTAGACAGACACACACTC